AACAGCAACAGTATAAAATTGCCCAGAAGCTAAAATCGAAAATATTCTCATTTCATTGACGTTTGAATTGATTTGTTCACAACGCACAAGCTCTGAAAACAAACTCAACTGGTTGTATATGGTTTTAATAAGCACCCCTTGTCAATTTCTAAGAGTGAGGGAGTTAAAATTTAATGTTGCATCGGCATTATTTCAGCCATATAGCAACGAGCAACTAAGTGCTTATTATGTTGAATGTGGCACATCATGTTAGGTTTTGCCCTGGCCTGGTGGACTCGACACTGACCCAGTGAGGTTGGTGTTATTGTAACCATCTTTCAAAGTTAAGATGATGAAGCTTCCTTGTAAAGGCCTCTTTCTCCATCTCACAACTCTAACAATACAATCCTGTGTGTTCATACAAAAAAATAATTCTGGAAAGTTTTCTTTTCCAGCAACCTCATAGAAATTGTCTCAACAGCATAACAAACTATCCTTAAAACATTTTTTCTGAACATTCGCAAAGCCATTTTCTGAGCAGATTTAATTCCCTCCTCTGCCTCGTATTAGAGCTGACAATAGCTTCTGACCTAGGGTACTAAATCTTCATTGAACATAAAAATCATCAGCGTTTCTTTGATTCTGCACAAAGGAAATGACAACGTTGTGACTTGACTTCACTTTGAGGTCCGTGTTTTCAAAACACCCGTTAATTATTTCCCTCGGCTTATCCCTCGCATGGTAATTGTGGAGAATTCCAACACACAAAGACCTGTGTCATCAGTTCCAGTAGCTGTATCTCCATCAATCCAATGCTTTCATTGTCGCCATGGAGACAGGCAAACATACACCGTCCCTTCTTGGTTTCAAATCTCTGGACTCTCAGCTTACCTCCATGTACTTTCTCTATAACCCTTACATTACATTCGCAAATGTCGGGGCATTTAAGTCTAGATTGTAAGGCTGTTAGAAGCACAGACAACACAGACAATACATACATTTGGTAAAAAGGCCAAAGATGGAGCAAATTTGTCATTGCAAATAATTCAATTTCAACATCACAATTTCAACGTGAAGATCAGGGTTATAATAGGTCTTCAGCAACCCGTGCTTGCCATAAAAGGTGACTATGCTTGTTGCAAGAGGCAACTAACAGGATCAGGTGGTTAGGCCCTCTGACTTGGTTGATGCATTTCATCCTATCCCAATTGTGTAGATTGAATCTCAAGATGTAAATCACTGGATTGTCTGGTCCTGACTCAATCGTTTACATAAGGCTGTCATATGCTGGAATATTGCTGAGTGCTGTGTTAAACAACAGGTGACTAAATGGTTTGGGTGGTCATGTTCCGGGACTTGGTCACTGTAACCCATCATGGTAATATGAATCACTGGTTTGTCTGGTCTAGACTTGATTATTTATTAGCTGCCATGATATAGTTGGAATATTTCTAAGTGGTTTAAAACAACAAACAAACAAAATGTGTGTACTGCTTCATGTATTGTGACATCTAGGTTGGGTAAGATGTGATTTGTTTGTTTGTTTGTTGTTTAACGCTGCACTCAGCAATATTCCAGCAAAATGATGGCGGTCTGTTAATAATCAAATCTGAACCAGACAATGATTGACATCATGAGCATCGATCCAAGAGAGATACGATGACATGAATGAACCAAGTCAGGAAGCCTGACCACCCGATCCCGTTAGTCGCCTCTTACGACAAGCATAGTTGCTTTTTACTGCAAGCATGGGTTACTGAAGACCTATTCTACTCCAGATTTTCGCGGGTCGACCAAAGAATTAACTATATAAGCTTTGCATATAATGATGGTATCAGACATGTAAACACCACAACAAGGCTATCATTTCAAAAAGCACTCAGTTATAAGGCTGCTTTCAACAGGATAGCTACCAGTGCCAATACATATATCATTGGATGATAATTAAATGAGTTAGAGAAGGTTTTTCATATCGATTCTCATCTCAAATCAGGTTTTATAAGGCTCAACAGGGCTGCCTTTCATTGCTTGCGAACACACTTCTGTTGTCTTCAATACGGTTTGGGCATTTCCAATAACCCTGGACATCAAATGATCATGCAAATCTTCCAGTGAGGCCATCAACATCAAAAAGTTGAATTGATCCTCTGCAATTTCCTCCACATAAACAAGGTGCTTCTTCACCATGAAATGTCCTATTGCTGCCCCAAATCATTAGAACAATTCTTCCGCCAAATATGATGACCCAAGCCAAAATGAATCCTGGCTTTGTCAAAAGGTGGTAAGTACCCCTAATTCAGGACCACACTGTCTGGCGTAGAAATAGCAAATCTGACTTTGAGCGTCTGAATTGAAGATCAAAGGGCTCTCACAGCCATCAGACCGACCCCTATCTTTATAACTATTAAAGATTAATGTGTCTCTCGGACTGAGTGGACTATTGTAACTTTGTCCGGGTTACCATAGAGAGACAGAAACGCATGTCCGAGTTGGACCACGATACATTGCTACATCATTGTGCTAATTGAAGCACATAGACAAGATGGCTGGAGATCAATACTCAAATAATCATGGCCTGTATTAATGGCTATACCAATGCCAGGATGTCCGCAGTAATTTGTTCTATCAATATACATCATTTTCACACACAATAATGAATGCTCGTTATATTCAGACATGGTATCATACTGAAATTAAACATATGTTGTATGTTGGAACAGACGCCTTGTATTTATATTGATACTCCTATTTTAGAAAACAGAGCAAAATATATATATATATATATCAAGTGAATAGCGATAAATTATCAAGAATTATCATGACTTACTGTTACCTTGATTACAGGATGAACATGATGAACAAATAAAGAACCACATGTTTGTTTGTTTGTTTGTTTGTTGTTTAACGCTGCACTCAGCAACATTCCAGCTATATGACAGCAGTCTGTAAATAATCGAGTCTGGACCAGACAATCCAGTGATTGACTTCATGAGCATCGATCTACACAACTGGGATACGATGACATGCATCAACCAAGTCAGCGAGTCTGACCACCCGATCCCGTTGCCTCTTACCACAAGCATAGTTGCTTTTTACGGCAGGCATGGGTCACTGAAGACCTATTCTACCCCCGATCTTCACTGGTCGGAAGACATGTATACCAGCACATTACAACATCTTACAAACTCAATGTGGTACTTGTACACGATAAGGAGGAAATTGACTAACGTTTGATTACTGACACAGACATTATTAGCCAAGAGTTTCCACTTCATATTATCATGTTTGGAATATGAGAAACACACAAGGGTAATTATCTTTTTATCATATAATGTCATCCCCAAAATAATCACTGTTTAAGATGTAATTTAACTCGCTGAACTAATATAAAACGTCAACACCTGGGAATTATCGGTTCCGATTATCTGCCAAAACAGGTGCCATTGCGTTTAAAAAGGCAAAATAGCAGTGATGACACCAGGTGTTTGTGATAAGGGTAAGCATGCCCTGCCTAACTGTAGCACCTGCCAGTCACACATACTGCATGTGTTTGTTGCCAGATTATAATGCCAAATATAAGTGAACTTCATTATTTGCAGCCAAGTTTGTTGAAAAAGATACACACATTTGAAAGCCCCTATCTTAACTAAAGCTGGGCAAGAGTTTGCTGAGCATGTTGTAAAACATGAATGAATTAAGTTCTTATTTTCTTAAATTCAGAAGTCTTCTAAAACTGAATTAGTACATTAACATTATATTTAATAATGGAAAAAAAAACATTAAAGCCTCTTCGTCTGTTTTGGTTCTAGTGTCAGTGAAATACAAGTTGACACATAAGATATAACTATAATAATATGAATTGGGAACGTTTTAATTTATATTTGGGAATTTATACTGACATTTACTAGAGATCTGGAGGACAACCAGCCACCAAACAGGTCGAGATCAATCTGTGTCGGTACACAATGTTTGATATTGCCTGACAAAACATGTAACACATTTCTCCTAAGTTGAACCACTCCCTTTCAATTGGAAAAAGGACATTTTGGCCACTGGATAGTTAATACCTTACCATGCCTACTCTTTTAAAATGAGAATGATGCATTCATATCAATAAAAACATTCACCAAGACGCCTCCTGTCATAATTTCAACAGAATTAAGATGGAAGTCCATGATATACATTTAGAAGTTCGGAGCACATGAATACATGACACTTTATTATGGATAGCAACCCATCAAGTGATGAAACGTTGTACAGAGTATAAAAGAAGTTGCTATCCATAAAAAGTGTCCTGTATTCAGAATAATGATTCTTTTGAAATGTAAGTTAATAAATATGTACTTGCAACTAGGTACCAATGCATAATGTAGTTACATTGTGCACACCATTGATTATGGATGATTATACACTTTTCAAAATACTATGTGTAACATGTTGAACAATGTACAGATAAAAGTTTATTCCATGAAGAACCCTGATGAGCTGTATCAGTCATATTGTGAAACAATGAATACAAACATTACAGGCTGCATTGGGGACGGAATTGTTGCATACAAAATTTATCATTTTTTCACAATGTTTATGACGAAATAAGAGATGATTTTGAATTTCAACACATGACCAAAACATGCATGAGGTCTCAGGATGCTTGTTTTTCCACTGCGTTAGTTTATCTACATATTACACAGACTTCATTTTTCCCCAGTCTTAGCTGATAGGAATATCAAAATGGAATCCTAATTTAGTTAAAACAAAGTAGACAGAGGCTACACTTGGTTAGACATGACCACTAGTCTGTTAGTCTGAGACTAGTGAAAATGTAAAGGGATTAGTCATTTTCTCCCTAAATCTAGTTATTTTATTACGTCACCAGTCCCAAAAGAACTGCGGACTAGGTGTCTACTCCTGCTAAACCTGCTAATGGGTCACGTGTGCGTGGTAGAGGTCTAACTATGCCTGTATAATAAATATGACTAGCTATTGGTATAGGACGTGTAGGCCTTGAAAAATGGACTCACCTTTTCTAGTGTTTTCCTTGGCCTTGCTTCTATGAAGGACAGAAGGCCACAGCACAGGAACAGAAGAATATACCTCTTTACCAACTCCATTGCGTTCACTCGTACAATCACGCCTCACTCATAGCCTGTTGACAGAGAGCAAAAACACCTTCATGAACTGAGGCCATGTTTTGGTAAATAGTGTTTATCTTGTTTGTTGTCTAACACCACACTCAGCAATATTCAAGCTATATGACGGCGGCTTTAACTAATTGAGTCTGGACCAGACAATCCAGTGATTGATAACATGAGCGTCAATCCGGACAAATGGGACACAATGACCAAGTCAGCGAGCCTGACCACCCCATCCTGTCAGTCGCCTCTTACTGGTAAATAGTGAAATCACATTGTGAGCAATAGACAATAGTTTAACCATAACCCTTTTTGAGTAAGCAGGAATTTGATACTCATTTGATAATGACGTAGCCTAAAAGTATTTATGCCAAGTTGTCATTACCTGATTACAGACAATATACTCAAGGGACAAACACCTGGGACGAGAAACAGTAACACATACTGTATGGGTGAATTTCAGTAAAGCAGCAAGAATCTCCAAACAAATATTATTGAGACTGGATACAGGGTAATTTTTGTAAAAACAAGGTTTGATTCAACGCATTGGTATGATATATGTTCAAAGCCCTCCCATTGTACTCCATATCAGTGTTCACCAAACCTCACTCACTCACCTAACCATTATGCTGCACACAAAAAACTCGGTCAGGTGTAAGTGAACAATGACAGGTATAAACTTTCAAAATAATTAAGTGGGACTTCACACAGAAATTATAAGGACAAATGGTGTAGGCTCAGACCAGCATGTGATATGGCTGTTTGACACCTTCCTGTTCAGGGTCGGACAGCTTGAATGGATTACAACCTCATCTTTTACTGATAAGTATTACATATCACTATCTGAAGTACAAGACCACTGCTCGCCTCACTTAACAGGGGTATGTATGCCTAAACACTTACCTCGCTTCAGTTGTTTTGAAAACACCTATGGTGGCCAGTGCGACTCCCTATGTTGGTGTTAATGACTACATGCTGAAGTATTGCAAATGAGTTGCATTTTATTTACAATTTCTGTTTTGTTTTGTTGATCAACTTCATCATATCATTACTGCTAGGTTAGTATCTCACCTGAGTACGAAGGGTAGGAGACATAATAATCATAACAATAATAAGTCCATTTATAAAGCGACAAATTCCATCCACCAATTGGTTGCTCATAGCTCTATATAACACAGGAAAGATGAAAGTAAACCTCAAGAATGAACACACAGTTCTGTGGTGAAAATGAAAGTTCACTGATTGTATGAAGTTTTGAAGAGGAGAGTTTTTAGCATGTTTAGTCCACATTTGAAAGCAAACATGGATTGTGTCAAGATCTATACATGGTTAACAAAGGGATCCGCCCCTGAAACATATCATATTTCTGACTCCTTGCAACAATACAAATAACATGTCTAATAGTTAGTAATACACTACTTTCCTTCTACCTTCTATCATATGCCTATAGAGTGCAATATTATATAATAGAAATTTACATGGAATGCTGACAATGGCAATAATTGTATCAATTTCAACTTTGTACCTCAAGTATATCTATATAATCAGTAAATGGCTTTTAAAGGAATCTGTATCACAACTAATAGGCAATATTGATGCTAAGGTATGTTAATAAATTCAAACAGTCATACAAATCTTGATATAGCCTTGTTTCAGCAAAAATCCAAGGAGTGGGTGAGTGAGGGAGCGAGGATGGTTTTACGGTGAATGAGATGGGGTTTTACAGCACTTAAGGCACCATTCCAGCAATGTCCCAGTAGGGGACACCAGAAATGGGCTTTACATGTACCCACTTTGAGAACCGAACCTGGGCCTTCAACGTGACAGGCGAATACTTTAACCACAAGGCTACCCACTGCACCAAACATCCAAGGATATATCCATGTGTGGAATACACTACAGACTCTGTGCCAAAACAACTGCTGCTACTAGCCTGTATCAGGCGTATCATACCAACAGGCCGTCATATAGCTGGAATATTGCTGAGTGCGGCGTTAAACAACAAATAAATACCAACAGAGCTTAGCCCCTTACACATGTGTGTGCAGTTTAACAGAGACGAGAGAGCAAGAGAAATATATCATGACAGGGGACACCAAAAATGGACTTCATACATTGTACCCATCTCAGGAATCGAACTAGGGCCTTCGGCGTGATGAATTAACGCTTTAATATCAAGGCTACCCTACTGCTTCTTTTTCTTATGTACTGTAATATACTACCAGTAACTATTCTGACAACAGACTTTAATATGGACAGGAATTATTCAGAATTCCAAACTTCTGCAAGTGCTCTTGGCAGACAACTCAATAAAAGTTGATTACTATACTGAAACACGATGAAAACGCATAATCAACTTAACTCAAAATTAGAAAAGATATGTTTTTATGCTTTAGACCATGTCCAAACACGGAATGAGATTCCAGCCCAATCAACGACAATTTTGTGTTTGATTCTCTCATGCCTAAACACCAAGTACAACGTAATTATTACCAAATAATACAAAACATTTGAATATGTGTTTTCAAAATGTGTCTGTATATATAACATGAATGGCGAAATTTGTGATTTCAATTTGGGAATATATCGGCATTGGACTATGAACTGTACGTATCAACTCACTAACAAGGTAAACTTGTTTCCACTGATTAATAATGGTAACATATTCTTTATATTGTAGTACATATAGATCTTGAACAATGTACATAAAATATAATAAACAGCAACCAAGCATAAGCTATTTTGCCACAGCCATCACCAGACAGAAATTCTGTCATCATCATTAATTTCCTTAAAATAAAATCTATACATAATTAATCATTTGATTAATAATAAGGCAAATGGAGGCAATTCAGAAGAACAATGAAGCAATGTGGGTAACATTAAAACGAAAATATGCAATGCAACATTATCAAGTAATGAGACAAGATGTAGCTGAGCTAGGAAGAATAATCATGGGCGTGGGGGTGGGGGTGGGGGGTCTGTCTTGTCTACCAATAAAAGAATTATATGCTACAGATAGAGTATATACATAGCTGTATCTAGTGAAATATTGCAGTTACCATTCATCTGCATGAGTCATAGCAACAACAGATACCAGGCACTGACACATGACAAATAAAGACATCACTTAGATTATGTCAATAAACACGGTCCGAGCATGCCCAGAAATACCCTGTGAAAGAAAATTAAAATATCTAAACCATGACTGTCAGACGATCACAGAAAATTGATATGAAACATTTTTTCTTGGGGATTAGAATAAATAACGCGACCCTCTGCGAGTCGTCTACGGTATTATACCATTGTACCAATTCCAGTGCCATGATATCGCCTGATGCTTTCACAACGCGCACCTGCGCAAATTCAAAATCAGGCAAATACATGTGTACCGACCTTACACCTTCTCAAATAGGTATCCACTATTTCAACAGTAGTCCAAAGATATTTGATATAGATATACACAGTAAGCAACACAAGCAGACGAAATAACAGGGTCCTCAGACGAACCGTTCTCACTCACCGGTCACTCTCCAAGAACCATACGATACACAGCTTCCGGCCGAAAGATGGCGCCCTTAGACTGATCTATTTATACAAAGGGAGACAACTTCATGGCGCATTAACATAAATGGTGACAAAATGGCCACATATTTGACAAGATATTCGTTAACTGAACCGTATCAGCGCAACGTTATTTTCAAAATAAATCATAGCATCGTGTATGTTTCAAACAGAAGATTCAAAACGTTAAAACATGTAGATTTACCTTTGATAAAATGGACCATTCCAACAAAGGTTTTTGTACAAATCAATTTAGATTTAATAATTTATTCCTATATAATGGTCGGCGCAGGGGCTAATCTGATTCGTTCAGAGAATGTACGATTATACAGGCTGCTCAGGTGCCAACCTGGTTCGTAGGACGAGATTCACTTCACACAGACACCACTCTCACTCTCTCAAAACGTTCTAGCGGGACGGTACTATGACGGAAATCGATAATGTACATTATCACGCGCAAAACCTTGCATAATTAATTTATGCCGCTCTGTGGTACTTTGAACACAATAACAGCTTTGCTCTATAGCAACATATGTCGCATTACCGTTGGTATCGATTTCTACCTACCGTAACCCATTGTATTCGTTTAACGAAGGTCTCTTTCGCGAGGCTTTGTCTTGGGTCATTGCGTCTGGTCTCGCTTGTGTTAATTGGACAGTGGTTTCGAGACAAAGGGTGTTGCAAGAACTAATACCATTTATATGTGCCTGACCTTGGTTCTTGATAGAATACGCTACACGCACCTGCTTGCGGCATGACTCAAAGATCAATGAATTTATTATTTGACCTCCGACCATTGTTGGTTAAGCAATTTTGAATACACAGAGATTCTCACCAGAATGACTTCTAATTTCAAATATAGAGACACGAGTCGATAAAAGATTCTATATCCGATACTTGCCGAAAGTGTTAATATATTTTATATCAAAAGTCACTCGGGTGAGATTCTATTCATCATCTTAACTCATTCTGTCCACTGTTTCTGTTTGTTAACAGTAATAACCAGTGGCTTGAATGTTCGAAGTACTTTTGCTAGCTTCAGTGGTAGAGAGAATAGTCCTGTTATTTGATTGTGACGTCATGGTAACCTGATGTCACAATGGCCAGCAAATCATTGTGATGCAACTTTGTAGTGGTATCTCCTTGGATATATAGCTTGATATCACCCAAGCGATATTTCCCGTGGAAGCCAGTTTTGTATGATAAATAACAATGAATGTTTGAATCAGTTAAAGAATAATCATGTCTTTTTTAATGACATATTTTTGGGTATATATCTCCCATTTATTCTCCGAAACTCAAAATCTCCCCTGTCGCTTAGTTAAATGCATCTACTCTCTAAAATATAATACAAATGTAAAATAAATCTATCAAAGATCAGTGCTCAGATTGATTCGTGAGACGGGGCTCTGCAAGATAATGAAACAGCCACATGACTTCGAGTTATGATAAGTGCCCTTCTTGCCCGATAGTAGCTGTCATATAAACTGACGGCCAAAAGTAACGTTACCACTTTAAGGATGAAATTACAAAAAATTAGAAACAAAAGTTCAAACAAAATCAATGCAAAACAGGTCGTCCAAATACAGCAATGCTATGTGCAGAAAGTAATACACATCCACGACATGTTTTTTGGTGTAGAAAATGCGAAAAAATGTGACAAGCACGTGTCGCGTAGGCAGCCTAACCTCCACGTGCAATAAGGGTATATAAATGATACGGACGGCATGTCAGACACTGATAAAAAGTCACCACAGAAATGCCACGACTGACACCCGAACAACGCGAGCGGGACCTGGGTATGATACAGATGGGAGCCATCCATACCCACATTGATAGGACTTTTGGTTGCTCCCGTGTTGCTGGAACTAACCTGATGCAACGTCACAGGCATCAGACAGGCCAAGAACAGGTAGACTCAGCGTAACTACGCCCAATGAAGATCTGTACTTGCGTCCTTTACATCTCCAGTATCGATTCCAGACAGTGAGGTCATCAGCGACGAATGCCTAAGGGCATATGGTTAATCGACACTGTGGAAGGCGACTGGGGACTCAAGGAATTAGGGATTACAGACCTTACAGAGGTCAGTTATTGACAGCGCAACATCGTCATCAGAGATTGCAATGGTCCCGGACTGTACGTCGTTGGCAGCGACGTGATTGACAGAGGGTCCCTTCCCTTATGAAAGCCGGCTCTGTCTGTTTATAGATGATGGAAGACCGAAGGGGAGAACGAACGGCGACATGTTGCTTTCAGGAGGTCGATCCGTATGGTGGAGAGGGTGTAATGGTGTGGGGAGGAATGTGTGGGCAGGAGAGAACACCACTGGTCATCGTTAACGGAAATTTGACAGCTCAGCGTTACATGGATAACATTATTCGTCCTATTGTCCTACCATTTCTATAGCAGCTGCTACATGTGGTGTACTTTTTCAGCATGCCAACGCCAAACCTCATACAGCCCGAATCGTACAGAACTTCCCTTGCAGCCAACAACGTCAACGTGCTGCCGTGGCCTGCACGCTCCCCAGACATGTCCCCCATAGAACACCTCTGGGATGTCATGGATCGTCGTGTTCGACAGCGACCATATCCTCAAGCCAACCGACAAGGACTGATACGGGCTCTCCATGTATTCATATCCCACGTGACGTCATCAGACGACTCACTTTTTCTGTCCCCGGGGAGTTTTTGCGTGTTATGTAGCAGGGGCTGGTCATACTTGTTTTGCTTTTTGCTTTTTTTAAATTAATGTGACGTGTCATTGAACTTGAGCGATTTTAGATGTGTGTGTCCTTCGTCCATTACATTGAAAGCTTGTATTTGCTAGCCCACCTCAATTCGGGCAACTGCCAATATTAGATACTGTATGACTGTATTTCAATGCTGATTTTCTTGATATTTTGCTCTTTTCAATACATTTTACTTCATGCATCTATTTTTGTGGGGGTTTGTTTTCGCCCCGATTATATTTCAAGGTTTGTCAGCACCATACTTGTGCTCTGGTAAACGTCTGAGACCTTCATCGTTTCGGGCTTTCCTCCCACATTAAGCTGACACGCCGTGATATAACTGGAATACTGTTAAAAGCGGCGTTTACCCCAACTCACTCACTTTTGTGGTTTTTTAACTAGAGTGATTTGAAACTATAGTAAAGTTTATTTTGGCCGTCAGTTTACATGAATGATAAACACTTTATGAAATTGTTATTAAAACGATATCTAAAAAGTTAATACTTTTTCGAAGCCTTTTTTTGACAAAAGATAAATAATAAAAACATTGCTGACTGTTGGTGAAAAAACATCTTGGGGTCACTCATTGCATATATTCAGTGTACATTAGGCATTTATTGGCTTTCTTGGTTTGAGTTTGTTTTGCGTTTTCAAATTATAAATTTGGTCTTTTTCTCATATTGATGGACGTTGAGTCACCCATAATCATGAACAACTGAAAACATGTATTTCAAATGTTATCAATTTACGGGACACCCTATCCCTGGTTTGAGGCAACTAACCCACTTCCCACTTCATCAACTTTCTTTTATCTGAATTATAGATTAATTTAAAACAAATTTAAGATTATGTAAGATATATAAATATCTTTCTTAGAATTTGTGTTCAGGGTTTAAGCTTGAATTATATCCACACACAGTCTAGTCACGTACAACAAATGATGAATAACACTAAACAGCTATGAATAACACCCTCAAGCTGGCTTCAGGCATGGGGACTATAGGCTACGGTCTCTCAGCTTATAAAGAGGGACAATCATCGTGGCAATCCTGAGACCAGAAGTGAGGTGAGATGAAATGGGGTTTAACGTCGCGACCAAGATTATTTCACTTACATAGCGGCGTGCGTGTGTGGCTGCTTGTACTAGTATAGCAGGTGAGGTGAAATGGGGTTTAACGTCGCGTCCAAGATTATTTCACTTACATAGCGACGTGCGTGTGTGGCTGCTTGTACTAGTATAGCAGGTGAGATGAGTGAGTGAGTGTGGTTTAACGCCGCTTTTAGCAATATTCCAGCGATATCACGGCGGGGGACACCTTAAATGGGCTTCACACATTGTACCCATGTCGGGAATCGAACCCGGGTCTTCGGCGTGACGAGCGAACGCTTTAACCACTAGGCTACCCACCGTGGTCGTTACAGTCATTTAACGGGGTTCCACCATGGCAATGCAGTCTAAAGAATATTTTCCATAAGTCAACTTCCTGGTAAAAGACTTCAGGTGTTGTCCTCCCTTCATAACGCCTCGTCATAATTAAAGTAGAGTCTCGTTTTAATTCCTTGGCATATACCTAATTGTTCACTAATTGCATGTGTCAAACTCGTATTGATTATTGAATTACCTTGATGCGTATGTAGTTCTATCAATAATCGTTGATGAGAAATGTAATCACTGTTCAGCCATTCTTCGCCAGAGCTTCACAAGGCCGACACAATATTGTAAATTGGTAATATTTTATGAGCGCTTCGTTCATTCAAATTTCAACACCATTCATATCACTCAGGGGATACACATGCGTCTCATGTGCTTGTATAAGATGAGAAAAGGATTTTGAATATATTTTTTCATTCAATATTGTTCACATTAACTTACAGCAAAATGTATGCAGTTGACATACAAAACATAATTCTTTCATTATGAAACTAGATATTGTGGCAGCCATCATTCATCCCATGGTTGTGAACAAAGAGAACCATTGTTTTGGTGACATTATATGCAATCCATGCTTGGGCCAAAGTCCATGTGGATCAATAGTTTGATTTGTATTGAACTGATCAGGTCATCTGGTTTGCCCACTTTGTGGATGCACGTCATTGTATCCTAATTGTGTGGATCGATGCTCATGATGGCAATCACTGGATTGTCTGGTCCAGACTCGATTTTTTACAGATGACAGTCATGTAGCTGGAATATTGCTGAATCTGGCGTTAAACAACAAAGAAAGAAAAAGGCAGCCATTATTTTGTTTGTTTATCCCCTTTCCAGCACAATTCCAGCTATATGATGGCAGCCTGTAAATAATCTGGAGTCTGGACCAAACGATATATATGGATAATGTGAGCAACAATCCATGCCGTTGGGGTTACGAGGACACACAATCAACCAAGTCACCGAGTCTAACATCAATCCATTTGGTCGTCTCTTACGACCAGCACAGGTTGCTGGGGACCAATTCTAATGAGGGAGGCAGACATCTTTAAGTGCGAGCGCTATGCTGAGGATGAAATCTGAACACATATGAAAATGTTTCCATTCAGGCATTTCACATGCACCAGTCCTAAGCAACACTCGGGTATTGCACATGCACCAGTCCTAGGCAACACTCAGGTATTGCACATGCACCAGTCCTAGGCACAACTCTGGTATTGCACAAGCACCAGTCCTAGGCAACACTCGGGCATTGCACATGCACCAGTCTTGGGCAACACTCGGGCATTGCACATGCACCAGTCCTAGGCAACACTCAGGTATTGCACATGCACTAGTCCTAGGCAACATTCAGGCATTGCACATGCACCAGTCCTAGGCAACACTCAGGTATTGCACATGCACTAGTCCTAGGCAACATTCGGGTATTGCACATGCACCAGTCCTAGGCAACACTCGGGTATTGCGCATGCACCAGTCCTAGGCAACACTTGGGTATTGCACAAGCACCAGTCCTAGGCAACACTCGGGTATTGCACATGCACCAGTCCTAGGAAATACTCGGGTATTGCACATGCACCAATCCTAGGCAACACTCGGGTATTGCACATGCACCAGTCCTAGGCAACACTCGGGTATTGCACATGCACCAGTCCTAGGCAACACTCAGGTATTGCACATGCACCAGTCCTAGGTAACAAGTTTGTTTTCTGTAGCTGATAGTAATGGCCATCATTTCAGCTTCTTGTTACTGGTGGCTAATTCTGTCCTGGTAGCCCAAAAGGGAGCCATTTATATTGTACTGTTTATTAGTTATCTCCATGAATATTATTGGTCCAAATCACCATGTTTGAAACAAAAGCCATGAAAACTAAACGCATCTTCTCTGTATTGTGTGTAGGTCTCCATGTGAATAAAACTTAACTTACACAAATGTTTTGTTTCTAGTCATAATCTGTAGTTTTCATATGAGTGAAGAGCATTTACCTTGTACTCTCATTGTCTCATAGTTGTCCATATCTAACGTTGACTTACTATGTACAAATGCACCGACAGATCCAGAGACTGACCCTTTTCGCTTCACTTCGTTAACTCAGCCCAGTCGCTTTGGTATTATGTTCACCCGACCTATTCAAAAATCCCAGATCCGCAGTCTTTAAATAATTTTTTTCTATGCAAATGTAAGATTAGTTGTTATAAAAGCTACAAGTCAGATTTCGGAAAGTTAAGCTTTGGAGCCCATTTTTAGTCAAGGTTCCTGTGTTATAGAATTTGTTTGGTGTCATATTGAGCCATATAGAAAGTGAAGTAGGTAATAAGCTGTTGCTAGACTTTCTCAAGTGTGCATGTAGGTAATGATAAGTATGAATGATCAATTTCAATATCATAATTGTAAATCAGCACTTTAGTATTTTATTCATCTCTAATAATAAATGACATCAGTACTTTGTAGGGTGGTGGACCCTCACAAATGAGGTGTGAAAATAGTTTGTTCCAAGTACAGAACCATATCATATCACAGTGACACACAACAGTAGCTGGCAATGGCCTTGAGGTTCACCTAACAAGCCTGGTTAGGAATGCCTACACACAACAGTTGCTGGCCATTGCTGTGTGATGTTGTAACAAGCCTGGTTAGGAATGCCTACACACAACTGTAGCTGTCAATGGCCTTAAGGTTCATCTCACTAGCCTGGTTAGGAATGCCTGGCCTTGAAGTTCATCTCACAAGCCTGGTTAGGAATGCCTACACAACTGTAGCTGTCCATGGCCTTGAGGTTCATCTCAAAAGCCGGTTAGGAATGCCTACACACAATTGTAGCTGGCCATGGCCTTGAAGTTCATTCAACAAGCCGGTTAGGAATGCCTACACACAACTGTAGCTGGCCATGGCCTTGAGGTTCATCTCACAAGCCGGTAAGGAATGCCTACACACAACTGTAGCTGGCCATGGCCTTATGCTGGTGTAACAAGTCGGTTAGGAATGCCTACACACAACTGTAGCTGACCAGGGCCTTGAGGTTCATCTCAGAAGCATGGTTAGGAATGCCTACATACAACTGTAGCTGATCAGGACCTTAAGGTTCATCTCCCAAGCCTTGTTAGGAATGCCTATAGACAACAGCTGCTGGCCATTGTTGTGTGATGTTGTAACAAGCTGGTTAGGAATGCCTGGCCTTGAAGTTCATCTCACAAGCCTGGTTAGGAATGCCTACACACAACTGTAGCTGTCCATGGCCTTAAGGTTCATCTCACAAGCCTGGTTAGGAATGCCTACACACAACTGTAGCTGTCCATGGCCTTAAGGTTCATCTCACAAGCCTGGTTAGGAATGCCTACACACAACTGTAGCTGTCCATGGCCTTGAGGTTCATCTCACAAGCCGGTTAGGAATGCCTACACACAACAGTAGCTGACCATGGCCTTGAAGTTCATCTCACAAGCCCTGGTTAGGAATGCCTACACACAACAGTAGCTGACCATGACCTTGAAGTTCATCTCACAAGCCGGTTAGGAATGCCTACACACAACAGTAGCTGACCATGGCCTTGAGGTTCATCTCACAAGCCGGTTAGGAATGCCTACACAAAACTGTAGCTGACCATGGCCTTGAGGTTCATCTCACAAGCCAGTTAGGAATGCCTACACACAACTGTAGCTGGCCATGGCCTTGTCTGTAGCTGGCCATGGCCTTGAGGTTCATCTCACAAGCCGGTTAGGAATGCCTACACAAAACTGTAGCTGGCCATGGCCTTGAAGTTCATCTCACAAGCCTGGTTAGGAATGCCTACACACAACTTCAGCTGGCCATGGCCTAGTGCTGTTGTAACAAGCTGCTTAGGAATGCCTACACATAACAGTAGCTGACCATGGCCTTGAAGTTCATCTCACAAGCCTGGTTAGGAATTCCTACACACAACTGTAGCTGGCCATGGCCTTGAGGTTCATCTCAAAAGTCTGGTTAGGAATGCCTACAGACAACAGTAGCTGGCCATGGCCTTGTGTTGAAATTCCCTGTCCTTCAGATTTTAAAAAAGAAACGCAACATCCATGTGAATCTCTCCATGTACAAACTTCTAAACAACAACACAAGACAATGTTTCATTAAATCGGTGATTTATGATATATACAAAATATTTTTACAAACTGTCACAAGAAATGAAGAAAATCTTGGGATGAGACTTGAAACAGTTGAAAGTGGCATAAACAAAATGACATTTTCTCTACCATTTGTTTTCTAACAGATATATGAAACTTTGGAACACTGCAGCTCACAGGGGAATCTATGTAATATATTCCATACAGTAAATATCAAAAATATCATTTCAGTACACCCTACATACATTTTATATATCAAGCATTAGAAACAAAAATATCAGGAACAAATGTTTAAGCAGGAAAGCTGTGCCCACAATATGTCAGAAAAACAACAATTATGCATTTTGTAATTGGTTTGAAGTTTACCCACAGCGCTTATTTACCATGGCCATTTAATTTTCATTGTGTTCACCGTCGTAGCACTTTCAGATCATAAAACAAATTCAAAGAGGAAAACAGTTCATAATAAACTACAATCTTTGGCACACAGCATCTTTCAGGAAAATGACAGAATGCATGATAGACAAACTGTGAAGACATAACCCCAGTTATCTGGGCCCGAGTGAGCTAGCAGCACGTTTATGTAGATGCAGCAATAAAAAAAAACAACTACCAACTTTACAGCTCCAGTCCATGAGCATGGTCTAACCATGCCAGACATCAAGGAAATAGCAACATTGTTTGTTTGATCATGCTAAGAACAGATCCCAGTACAGGAACTTACCGATGGAAATAGTGTACTAGTGAGTGAATGTGTTGAATCAAAAAATAAAACCGGCACGGAGTGTTTTGTGTTTGGATGTGGAGCATTCACGTCAGACTGCGTACTTTTGGGTCCACTCTCGAGCTGTCTCTGTATACTTGATTTTATTGTTTTTATAAATTCTGGCTATCTCGGGTACAAGTGGATCGTCTGGGTTGGGGTCTGTCAGCAGTGAGCAAATGGAAAGCAGGACTGGAAAAAATATCAGAACAGAAATATATATATACCTGTGACATTTTGACAGAACAGCAGACTGTACTCTGGCACTGCTCGGGACGGGGAATTGTTGGAATAGACAAGACTGTCATGGCTGACTTAATTTAATCAGCCTGCAACCCAGCCTATTAATTAAGATAACTGGTCCCAATATATTGGTCTTGCTACATCAGCAACATATTTTACGTTCTTTACCCATAAATCTCCACTAGACAAAGTACCGTAGCCCCTAGTATTAAGGAACAATATGTGTTTTAAGTCAAACACTTTCTAAACTATACTCCCTTGTGCTACAGCAAGAACATTTATGTCAATTGACTAATATTGATCAGGAAAGTCTCCTTCAAGATATTGTTTTCACACAAGCTCAAATCTCATTCAGGAACCACTGTCACTACTTGCTACGTCCCAATTTGACCCCAATGACCTCACTAATAATTACCTTACTGAGTGTCCGATGACGGTCTCAAGACAGATGTTATAGTCACAAACAAATATTTCACCAATTGTAATTATTAACTCATTATGTGTGTAATTTTACAATCTGAACTTCTGTTTACAACCCTCAACCTTGGGTCTGGTGGTGTACAAGCCTATCAGCTAAAAACATCCTGTATAACTCACATTAGTATTACACGGAATAAAATCCAGCCATTTGATTGGCTAGTCAGCAAGGCAGCCTGTACAGGCATCAAGATGTCACAGTATTCCATATGATGTCATCTGCTGGTCACAATTGACCTTCACATTTTTTATTTACCTAATCTGTACTTGTTAACATATAATCATAAAATTGTTACCATGGTTACATTTGACAATATAGTGGTGTATGGGATTTTATTCACTGAACATTCATGCTCACCCCTGGACCTTTCATTTCATGGTGTACAAGGTGGGGTGAAAGATTATTGCACTTATATTGCGACGTGCATGCACGTGTCATTGCATACAAGCCCACACAGCCTGTAAAATCCTGAACACCTCTGTATTGACACATTTAACACTTAGTCCAGGAAAATAAATGTTATTGCAATCATGGCAATCCCGAGCTAGGTTTTCATGTCTCAGTTCCACTCTTGATGTTTAGTTACCTTTGGAGATGGTGAGAGCTGGCGACCACTGTGTCCTCAGGATGTCCAAGCAGATGCTGCCGTTGCTGTTGATGTTTGGATGATAGATCCGGGTAGTGAATGCAACCTACAGCATCATTCAAAGCCATTAGTCCATGAACCCAGGGGTAGAAGTGTGTGCAATACAAACAAGTGAACATTAACTCCCAAAGCAGACAATACAATCACTTTGTATGAATGTGTTTACTTAGTATGAAAGTGCATGTTTTCTTTAAGAAAGTGTGCTTGTTCAGTATGAAAACAGTCTGCGAATGAGGACACTGGTCCAAAGCTGTGATCAGGTTGATTATGAATCCTGAGTTTGTCAGCACCATGTGGTCTGTTTTTCACTCTCAGATTTAGATGGCATGTCATGAGACAATCTCATTAAAATCAGACCTTATTTCTTGCTACCACGACAGGTCACGTCAGAACGACGTTTCATCCAACCAACCAGAGCAATGCTTACCAGATCAGGAAAGTGACACAGTGTGTTCTCTGATCATGTACGACCGTATGACTTCTTGTTAGTCATTTCATTGGTAGGCCAAAAGTTGTAAAAGGTCATTCTGCCGTGAACTGTAATGGGATGTCCTCAGATCTTTGTTTTGTGGTAGCGAGAAATAAGATCTGATTTTAAGGAATTGGTCATGATATAACTGACTGTGGAAGTGCATATATTACCTTAGGAGGTTTGAAGGGGTAATCGGTTGGAAAGTGTATAGTCAGGAAAAACACTCCGTTCTGATAAGGACTCTCAGGCTGCAAAAAAGGGGAGAAGACAAAATAACAATTAAGTGCTGATCTTATTGCTCATTGGCCATCTTTCATTACACATATATTTCATAATCAATCTCTGATTCCCAAGGGTGAAATAGTACAAATCAAATAAATTTCCTGAAAGCCTGAAACCAAATTTACTGGTTGCCATGACAAAGTTGTGACATGAAAACTATTTACAACAGAGGGAACAACTGATAAAATTTAGTTGGTTGGTTTGTTGTTTAACGCTGCACTCAGCAATATTACAGCTATATGACGGCGGTCTGTAAATAATCAAGGCTGGACCAGACAATCCAGTGATTAATATCATGAACATCGATCCACGCAATTGAGACCGATGACATGCATCAACCAAGTCAGCGAGCCTGACCACCTGATCCCATTAGTCGCCTTTTACGACAAGCAGAGTCACCTTTTACAGCAAGCATGGGTTGCTGAAGACCTATTCTACCCCGGAATCTTCAGGGGTCTGATTCAGAAAAATTGAAATAGTACAAATAAAAGAAATTTCCTGAACGCCCAAAACAAAATTTACTGGTTGCCATGACAAAGTTGTGACATGAAAACTATTTACAACAGAGGGAACAACTGATAACATTGAGTACTCACAGGTCCCATGATAGTTGCTTGCCAATGGAATACTGAAAAAAAGAGAGGAATATCCGATCAATCTCTGCCAAAAGCTTTAAAGTCTAATGGCACAAAATTGCATTTCAGCATTATTTCAATAGACGTTAGCCACGAATTAGAGATTGACATCTGGACTATTATTTACATTGTTCAAGGACTGTTACTCGCCTAAATGAAATGTCACTACATCTGAACTAATGGAAACAATTTGGGGGAACACAGATTCAAACACCACGGCAAATTAGCAATACATCTAAGGGACAGCAGGGCCATTGTTTAAAGCCGGACAGTGAGTGAGTGAGTGAGTGAGTATGGTTTAATACGGTTTAATATTCCAGCAATATCATGGCGGGGGGGCACCAGAAATGGGCTTCACACATTGTACCCATGTCGGGAATCGAACCCGGGTCTTCCGCGTGACAAACGAACGCTTTAACCACCAGCCTACCCGACCGCCCTTAAAGCCGGACAGATTGCTTTAGGCAATGGTCTGTTAGCCTAGAGTGAGTATGGTTTAAAGCTGCTTTTAGCAATACTCCAGCAATATCATGGCAGGGAAATAGGCTTTTGAACCCATGTGGGAGATGGGCAAACGCTTCAACCACTTGGCTACCCCACCCCCAGATGTTAGCCTAGAATGGAACCCCTGATACAAACACAATGGCTCCAAATTATACTACTCAACATGCTTAACTCAAGGTTACAATAAACTTGATAAAACATTACCTAAATATTGCTATATTTGGAGGGACACACACCTGTAATAAACTTAAGATAAAACATTCTTAACATATATGCTAAACCTGCTATAAGGATGATTTCAGCTTAAATCATATACACTTCTTATCGTTTCAAAAAGCTGCATCTACATATGTGCCAACAATGCAGCACATCAGGCTAATTAATTACACATAAACTTCAAGTCTTTCACATAGGCATCGTTAGACCACACATTTTTATATTATGGTAAACCGATTTTGTTTGGGACAGTTGATTTAGTTGAAAACTTAATGCTGATACTGTTTATCATGTTTATATTGCAGGATAAACAAACTGTTTATCGTAATATGCACATGCATTTACCATGCATATTTCTGAGAAGGCTTTTAAAAGGGTTTCCAGTTTTCAGAGACTGAACTCAATGTACTTAATAAATCATTATCTTAAAATAAACATGGTAAATAGTTACCTTAATCTTGTATGATTATCAAATTTGATTCTTTTCCCCCACCCTGATCTATCAAAGACAGAGTGATCAGGCAAAAAGAATTATTTAAACTACTGGTATTTTTTTTCTATTATGTGGCTTTTGGTTCTGGTCAGCTGAATCTGTCAACCAAAACATTCAGATCACCTTAGGCCATAATAATTTAATTGCTAGACTATCATCCCCGCCCAACTCATGACTAAAACCCCGACAAATTCATTTTATTTGCTCGAGTAAAATGTTTAGAGCATTATAACAACATCAACTGTCAAATGGACATTTCATGTTTGAGACATGCCAAAAACAGGTCTACAACCGACACTGTGTGTACCTGCCTATCGTCTGCTTCCTGTCAGCTGTCAAGATGGTGCTTGCTATTTTGGAAATATGAGAGGGTTGCATACCATTAAAGACTGATATATCCTGTCCCATGACTCTTATGGAAATCATCAACGAGTTAACTTGTGGGGAACTTGACAAGTTAACGTCAGTTGAGGATAAGTTCATAAATGCCAAGTACTTGGGCAGGGGAAACGAAATATAGGGATACATCCTACTGTTGAAATCAATGTTTATTTATTATCTTTCTTATTTCAGTCATCTATTGTTCATACCAACTTGACAAATTTAATAGGAAATAAAAAATATAAAGCCTCCCTCTCCACTTTTGAAAAAAAGGGAATGATAATCTCGCAATTAATTTATTATGGCCTTCCAGTAAATATATGTATGCCAACTGGTCAATCAACCTGCAAACAATTTGGATGAATATGAAAACAAAAAACAAGTCCGCTAATGTTTCTAGTTGAGCGTGAAGCAACTGTTGTTTCCATGTCACCTAATTTCTATCCTTGTTTACCAGCAAAATGAAACCATTAGCACAAGCCTGTACTACTACATGTACTCACAATCATCCCCGACTGGTCCCGCTGAACACTGGGCTGGAGGGTCACGACCAAGATCCTGCAGTTCCTGTACATATAGCAGAAATACTGTAACAACTGGAAAGACTATGGTGACCATCGTTCATTACAGGGTTGGAATAGGTCTTCAGCAAGCCATGCTTGCCGTGAAAGGCAACTATGCTTGTAGTAAGAGGCGACTAACAGGATTTGGTGGTCAGGCTCGCTGATGTAGCCCACAGCTATGGGGAACAACTTACTAGACACTTCCCTCTCAAAAATAACATCGTCCTATATATGACGTCAACAAGCTGCAAGCGTATATTCGAATCTCCAGAAAGAACAATGTTAGAACAATGATTTTTATCGTGAAACAAACCATGCTTCATTTTTCATTGTTCTTCAGTGATTTATAGCATAGCTATCTTATATATTACAATACACACTCTGGTCCCATTTGCTACCATTGCTGTTTTGAGCCTGATTTGTATGGCAAAACAGCTGTCCAACCAAATACTTTCATGCCATAATTTCAAACGTGCCAGTTCATTATTATGTTCAGCACATTCTGTCGCTATCGTTTTGGTTTCAATGATGATTTCTGAACTCGTGCCATTCATGTCAAAGAGTTCACTCATGGCATTCACACTGCCAGTAAATAAGGCAACTTCAGACTTTTCCGTATTAATGATCACTACCATGTTGGAATTTTCAAAGCCTCCATTACCTCTGTCATCATATTGGTAGCTGTAGACCTCTTTGGTCAAACACTAAGTCAGGTTTAGACACACTTATATAATCAAGTGGACTAACGAGTCTGAGTGCCAACAGACAAAACATTCCCCCAGCATACCCAAAATGACACCTGCTTTAAATATTATCCACAACTCTATTTCCTATAAATTTCAAAATATTTTAAGGTGTTACATATTTGAAAATATGTGACAAATTGGGTTGTAAAAGCGTATTTTTAAAGAACCGACAGACCACATTGTATGTTACAACTGAACAAAACGTGCATTGCCTTGTGTTATTTCTTGTTCACGTGAACTAATCATGTTACATCCCTTGTGTGTCTTTTCTACAGTAATATTTGGTAGGGCTGTTACGATTCACTCGCGTATTTGGTGAATCCAAACGGTATCCATTCATGAATTGAATTCCTTATTCGTGGCCACTAGAATCGAGTATTTATGAATATGCAGTCATGTGCATTTACATACCCTGTACCTAAAAATATCCATAAAAACATATTATATGCATAGATGTCTTCAAAAGACAACACCCTCATAATATATAATTTGACAGTATTGTGGTCACTGGTCATTGTCGCATTTGTGCAGATACTAGTTCCTGGATAAGTGCAGTATATAAATGTATATTATATTAATAATTAACAAACCATGTCAAATAGTTTATGTTGTTATTGTTTCACTGATTACAACAAATAATACATCAACTGCTGACTTGTTATTGTATTCATGAATTGCTATTCGTATTCATTACCCTATATTCGTGATACGAATTGTATTCGTCTCATAGTGTATTCGTTGCAGCCCTAATATTTGGGCCAGCTACTTATTTGGTGAGTTAATAATATTTCCAAACTAGAACATGTAGAATGAACTTGGTTCATATTCAGAAATAGCCAGAAATATGTGTTTCCCCTCAAACGAAACTCTAGCAAGAGCAAGTTGTGGGAGATAACTGGTCGCCAGCCAGTAGTCAACTTGAAATATGTGAAACTGAATTAAAGGGAAGTTTCTAGATGACAAATGTTTGACATAACATATCAACGATGATAAAGGAAACGTCTGACCAAATGTGCAGTGTTCTGCTAAGGCAGCAGCCTTGTGGCATTCCAACAACAATTTATTGATTAACACATAAAACTTACTATCAGTGGGTCATAGGCCTAAAGGTGCAATCAAAACCTGTAGTTGGGCTCATTTTATGTCATTCTAGGGTCACTTACTGTTTAACACTCACATAGCTGTTTCAATTATTCAGGAGGGTGTAAAATCAATGTTACCAGCCCTACTTGTCACATGTGATTGCTGGGCAAATAAAGACATCAGCAGCTTCAGTTTTTCTGTGGACAACATTAAAATTGAGTACGCCGTTAACATTTGTAGTCAATTTCGATTAAATATGTGAAACAAATTCTTCAAGTAGCTTGATCAACATCAAAACTAAAATCGCACGCAGTAAAAGACTGAAAAGAAACGTAAACCGGAATTTCAGAGAATGTAGCTTCAAGATTTCCTGTGACTACAAGCACAGTAATAACATGGCCTACTCATCAAATCTGACCAGTAACCAAGTGAATGAATACCACAGCATAGGCATTAAGTACAGCAAATGGTCACTAACAAATAAACACACACACACAAGGTTTAGGATATTTTTCTAGGACACTGACTGATTGTTATTAAAAATGTCCTAAGGGTAATTTTTCAATACCGGTAAGCTTCTGATGGTATAGATGAATATCTAATCAAAATTCGCTAAAATCATGATTATTTCCTCTGACATTTGTCTCCAGCAAAATCACATAAATATATAAATGTGTGTGTGTGTGTGTGTGAAATATTGAAACAGAAAGCAGGGTCTACATTGCAACACTTAGAGTACCCTCAACTACAAATACACAATAGAATCTCAACACATGTGCTCCCAGATTAGTATCCACTTTAATACATGTATAATGACACAGGGGAAGTACCTAGGCTGGTACCAATATTGATTAGTTTACCATACGCTTTCTCGGGTGTCAGTTAGAACTGTTTTCCACCTGTGTATGTGACTTTTGGGGCTACTCGTGGTTTGAATGAAAATGGCAGCCTGTGGTGGCGGCTACTTCGGGGGAAGAAATAAAGAACGGTATTATTTCAGAGCCAAAAGAAGATGTACAAATTCACAGCATTTCAAATCTCGATCAATCAATACTTCGATTCATATGACTACCCCTCCCAAACGACGACAGATGCCAAAAACCTAGGCTAGCTGGCATAGGAAGTGTTCGTCACAGTAAGCTAATGACCCTAAACAGGACATAATAGAAATTGTTTCCTAGTTCGTCTATTTGACTATTTACACATCAAATTGAAAACGAGAGACATAGATTCACATAAATCGATGAAAATCTTACCTTATTTATTCTCTTCAAAGCCATGATTGTGATAAAATGTCAATGAAATGTAAGTGTGTTTTCTTTCCACAATGCAATATGGTATTTGCGCATGCGCAGATCGTATGACCGGTTACCTCCCTTAGTTGACCATTGAGTCACGATAACGTCACGGTCTATTGACATTGCGCACCGTGGTTCTATTTTTGTGGATGAGAATAACATATACGTAGATGTGACTTCAAATGACTTGTGTCTATATAATACACATTTTAAAAAATATAGAGTGTAGTTATTTGATAATTAAATATATATCTACGTGTCACGTGTATCTCCATCAAGGAGACTTCATATCATACCACGGATATTTGAACATCCTGTTGTCTCCATTAACTGCAAAACAAGGAAGACTGAGTTTACTGATATTGTTATTCCGGATATTACGTCATACCATTGTTGACTAACATCGAGAATGATCTCAAACTCTAACAGCGTATTAAAGGAAAGTCGGTGTTCCAGAGTGAGTATGGTTTTACGCCGCTTTTAGCAATATCACGGTCCATATGATCGGTATCCCTGGAAGAAACAGTCTGTGTACCTTTGTAGTTCACCCGAAAATCGGGAAATATTCAAGTCCTCCACATCCCTGCTCCGGCTGTGATGACCCTTTGATACGTTTTCCCAAGCAAGCGGGATACGTTGACATGCATCAACCAAGACAGCGAGCCTGACCAGCCGATTCCGTTAGTCGCTAAACAACAAACAAACACAGACATACACACACACGTCGCTATACAAGTGCAATAATCTTGGACACGACGTTGATTCATTTCACCTCAATTTAGACTTGGTTAAGGACCGGGGTGATAATTATGTCGATTACGGTATATCTACTGCATCAGTCGGATAAATCATAATGCAGCACAGGTTACCATTGCACAGGCTCTGGGTCCTTACCAATTATTCTACGGCCTGATGGAATAGTTTCTGTGACTTCATCAGTTGCCGTGTGGTCCATATGATCGGAATCCCTGGAATAAACGGTCTGTCCGCCTTTGTAGATCACCCGGCAATCAGTTCTCCACAACTCTGCTTCGGCTGTGATGGCCCTTTCATTTGTTTTCTCATTTGTAACAGTTTTAAACGATTTGGGTACTTTTGAGATTAGTAATGCCTTGGGAAGTAGTTAAATCTTGATCACCCAGTACTGGTGACTTTCTGATCTCTTCAATACTAATATTGGTATTGGCGATGCATAACTGAGGTTGTTAATGCTGTCTCGAGTGAAGATGTCAGTATGGACAGACATTGACAGATACTATCAGCAAATAAAGTATATACCGCTCAAGGCGCTAAGAGTGAGTGAGTTTGGTTTCACGCCGCGTTTAGCAATATTCCAGCAATATAACGGCGGGGGACACCAGAAATGGGCTTCACACATTGTACCCATGTGGGGAATCAAAGCCGAACTACTAACGATGCGTGTCGTTGATCTGGTTTGGGGATCACTTTTGAAAAGAAGAGAGTCGATCCTATTTCGGATTAACACACAATAATATATAACAGGATTAATCCTTTAAACTAAACACACATAGATAATTGCTTGTCACGCGATATCTACCCACCGGCATAGCCCCGGGCACCGGAGCTGTGTTCCGTCAGAACTAATCTGCGGAACTGATCTTTCAACATGTTCAAACAAGATGATTTAACAACTTACGGACGTGTTTACGATTACGATGGCTGGTGATTTTCAATCCTGTTTTACTTGGGTCATTCACTCATCACTCCATTAGTGAATTTTTAAAACAAACTTTTGAAAAATAAATGTATTTTATTTGTTTGTTTGTTGTTTAACGCCGCACTCAGCAATATTCCTGGTATATGACGGAGGATTGCAAATGCTCGAGGCTGGACTAGACAATCCAGAGACTGACATCATGAGCATCGATCTACACAATTGTGATACGATGACTCCGAAATACCCAAGACTAAAACTGTGTTAGACCTAGTTCTTGTTTGAAATAATACAATACGTGTAACTAAATATAGAATGGGTTTAACGGATTCACACACTGTTAATTAAATAGAGGGCATTTGTATATTTTCATGTCAACTAACATATTTATCTCATCGAGTGACCTTACAATTTTTTTAATCTGATATTCACGAATGACGCTGCAGGCGCTAGTAAACATGTTTACTTTGTCAGACTGAGGTTCTATTTATGTTGTTTAGTCTGAAAAACATATGCACAGTTATAATGTGTTGTGTGTTTATTGTTTAACGCCGCACTCAGCAATATTTCAGCTATATGACGGCGGTCTGTAAAGAATCGAGTCTAGACCAGATAATCCATTGACTGACATTCATGAGCATCGATCTACGCAATTGGGATAAGATGACATGCATCAATCAAGTCAGCGAGCCTTGACCACCCGATTCCGTTAGTCGCCTTTTACGACAAGCATAGTCGCCTTTTTTACGGCAAGCATGGGTTGCTGATGGCCTACTCTACCCCGTATCTTCACGGGTCCATGGGGATATTGAGGCAGAGGAGACCAAATATATCGGGCGGTCATGTAGACTCGTGATCATCTCGAGGTAAGGGAGGTAACTGACTTATATAGTCAGTTAACTCCCTTGCCTCGGGAAGACGGTGACTTGGTTGATAGTGTCATGATGTCGTGGATCGTTGCCAATCTCATTAAAATCGCTTTGTTTAGCGAGAACTAGAGAACTGAGTTTCACGAGTTAAGGATCGTTGCTCACAATATCGATCACTGACTAGCATGGGTTTGCTAAGCGGTTTCTGAGGAACCCGAAGGACGTCGGATCACGGACGATGAACAAAAAGGTCATGCCATAAACTCACTTGACTTTCAAAAATAAAAAGAATTGAAACAATATTTTTCAAAAATGATGGAATGTTTCAAGAGGTTTTAATGCATTAGAAATACACCAAGGTATAGAGGAAATAAGTATATATCGGATTATTTATATTATTTGAAACAATCATATTTGGAAACAGGAACTGCTTAATTCTTACGGCGCTTTTAGTAATATTCCAGCAATATTACGGCGGGGGACACTAGAAATGGGCTTCACACATTGTACCCATGTGGGGAATCGAACCCGGGTCTTCGGCGTGACGAGCGAACGCTTTAACCACTAGGCTACCATACCGCCCCTATATATGATCATATATACTCGTATCAATAGAAGACAAATGAGGATCGGATGTGACCTGGTTGACTGTGCGTTATTGCGTCCAGACGGCGTGGATCGTTCCATGTAGCGTGTCAAGCGCCTTACGATGTGCCTGTACTCCGCAATTTACTGCCGTGATATTGCGGACTTTGTCGTAAAACAACGCTTCCCCACTCACATAAACAAAAAATAAACATTACCTTTAAACAGAGACAGGGACACACAGGCGGCTCGAAGTTTCTCTCTCCTTGCGGCTTGCTGATGACGAACAGTTTTTGTGGGAAGTTATATTTTCTCAGATTTCTTGTTTGATAGGCATTACTTAGAAGTTGACGGATGACAAAGTAGACACAATTTATAGATAACAGCTTCTTTAATACTGTAAAGGCGACATTTCGGTGTAGATCCTTATACTGTTGTCAAGCAAGACTGTGGTATAACACATCTTCCCGAGGCAAGAGAGTTAACTGACTTTAAAAGTCCACAACATCTTCCCGAGGCAAGTGAGTTAACTGACTATAAAAGTCCAGTTTCCCGAGGCAAGTGAGTTAACTGACTATAAAAGTCCAGTTTCCACCCTTGCCGAACTAGGCTGGTATTATGGAGTTAGAGTTTGGCTGGACTAACGAGTCTATGCATAGTCCAATCAAAATCGCGCACCGAAATCGAAATCCGGTTCGAGAGTGTCATGCAGATTTCGGTCGACGGCAGGATTTGCAAAGCATGTGCACCGCTAACTCGTTGACAACAGGTATTTTCCAAATCTTTTCATGTTTTTAATCAAGGTGCTCACGTGATTTGATGCACTTCGCGATGTAAGACTCGTTTTATCACATTATAGATCTTGATTATCGATCAGATCGTCTTGACTGGGCGCCACCGTTTTGTTTGAAGCAAATGCAAGTGATACGAGAGGTTGAATCTGATTGGTCAATAGGAGAGGCATAGAAAGGACATACCTCGTAATAGCCACTGGTAGCGCTACGATCGAGCCCAGGAATTCCAGCCTAGTTCGGCAAGGGTGGAAACCGGACTTTTAAAGTCAGTTAACTCACTTGCCTCGGGAAGAAACTGGACTTTTATAGTTAGTTAACTCACTTGCCTCGGGAAGATGGGTATAACACAGCACCTTTACAGTATTAAAGAAGTTGTTATCCATAAATTGTGTATACTTTTATGTAGATTTCCTCTCATACCATATACGTTGTAGGAGGTTCACGAGCCTCCTGCTCGTGGTATAACACCTAACCCCGAGTGACCCTGATACAACGAATTTATCTTACCTACAAGTTTTAATATGACAATGTAAAAGAAATTTTTTTAAATCAAAATTAATAGAAAACAGCTGTTCGATTGATCTGAGGTTAACTTGTGCCGTGTCACGTGACTTTCAATAACTCGGGGGAAAATGCGTGCGGGTTTTGTTTCGAAGTCGGTTACAAGGGATTTACTATATCCCTCAGAAATCGACGTGCAGCCTGTCTTGTTCGAGGCGGGGTATAAGGGATATATTCTCCCGTTCAGGCCCTGAAAAATATATCTCCCTATGAGGCGGGAAACATGGTATTTTATCAAATTCACGTGGACCAGATCTCATCATTCTGACATGATGATATACAAAACACTACACAATGTGATTACCTTGAATCTTGAATTTTCCGTGCCATGATATCCATGTACAATGTAAATGTAAATCGCAAAGTTCGTGACGTCAAAGAAAATTGTTTTGTGTAATGTGAGATTTTAACACTGTATGAAGAATATCATCTCTAGAAAAAGGCACCAGGTTACAGATTGATAACTACAAGTGAAGAATTTGCCAGAGGCGGAAATCCTGAAAATCTGATATTTTCTTTGTTTGTTTGTTGTTTAACGCCGCAGCGGTCAGTAAATAATCGGTTATATTACAATCACGATATTATAGCACATCCACCGGTGATGCTTCCACCCGAAACCAATATCCT